AGAGCAGGGCCCATCAGGGGGCTGGGGAGCTCCCCCCTGTCACGCACAGAGCAGGGTGGATCAGGGGGTTGGGGCACAGCCACTCTCATACTCAGGGCAGGGCCAATGGGGAGGTTATGGCTCTACCCCGTCACACACAGAGCAGGGCCCGTGGGGGTGGGGGGGTTGGGGCGCCGCACCCTGTCACACACAGAGCAGGGCCAATCAGGGGGCTGGGGCGCCACACCCTGTCATACACAGAGCTGCAGGGTGATCAGGGGGTTGGGGTGCCTTCTCCTGTCACGAACAGAGCAGGGCGGATAGGGAGGTTGTGGCCCCGCCCTCTGTCACACACAGAGCCACAGGGCGATCAAGGGGTTTGGGCACTGCCCCCTGTCACACTGATCCCTGTGCCGGGAGGCCTCTCAGCTTCGCTGATCCCAGTGCTGGGAGGCATATTACCCTTTTACTATATAGGATAGGGGCCTGGTGCACGGGTGGGGGCCGGCTGGTTTGCCCTGAAGAGTGTCCTGGATCAGGGTGGGGGTCCCCACTGGGGTGCCTGGCCAGCCTGGGTCAGGGGATGATGGCTGTTTGCAGCTGGTCACACACCCTTCAGGGTGGGGGTCCCCACTGGGGTGCCTGGCCAGCCTGGGTGAGGGGATGATGGCTGTTTGCAGCTGGTCACACACCCTTCAGGGTGGGGGTCCCCACTGGGGTGCCTGGCCAGTCTGGGTGAGGGGCTGAGGGCTGTTTTCAGGCTGGGACTGAAGCTCCCAACTGCTTCTTTTTTTCTTTTCTTTTTTTTTATTCTGGGCCAGCTTTAGCTCTGGCTCCAGCTCTGAGGCCTCTGCTGCTGAAAGCAGGTATCTGGTTTGTTTGGGTTCTATAATCGAAACAATGTATAACTCCAGCTCTGAGATCCCAGCCGGCCGGTGAAAGCAGGTTTCTGGGGTTTTGTTTAGCTTCTATATTTGTAACAATGTTTCAAACTGCAAGCTCAGAGACCGGCAAGGCAGGCAGGGAACGTTGGTTTCCTCCGTCACTGAAGCAAGCAAGCCTCATGTTAGTTTCAAGCTGCCTGGCTTCCGGCAGCCATCTTGGCTGGCAGTTAATTTGCATATTGCCCTGATTAGCCAATGGGAAGGGTAGCGGTTGTACGCTAATTACCATGTTTCTCTTTTATTAGATAGGATAGTTCTGGAAGTCAGAAGTCTGATTCTCAAAATCAGTCTCACTTGGTTAAAGTCAAGGTGTTGCCCTTTTCAGCTTCCAGGGCTCCCCTGCATTCCTTGGCTTGTGGCCCCTTCCTCGATCCCTCTGGTCTGTTTCTGTCTGTCTCTTTCTTGTCTCTGCCTTCCCTTTTTTTGTAATCAACTCTCCCTCTGCCAGCATCTTAGTAGGACTCACGTGATTACATTGAGCCCACTCAGAGAACCCAAGATAATTTTCCCACCTCAAGATCCTTAAGTAAAGTCACAGGTGCAGAGTTCCGTCTGCCATCTAAAGTAACACCGATAGGTTTGGGGAGTAAGATGTGGACATTTTGGGGGGGCATTATTCAACTGACCATAATATCCAAAGAGACCCTGTTTGAATCTAAGTCAGATCCTGTGCCTCTTGTGCTCAAAATCCTCCCATGATTCCCACTTTCCTCAGAGTACATGCAAAACCCTTGCAGTGGCCACACGGCCCTGCACATTGGTGAGTTATTACTTCTCCAATCTCCTTTCCTTCTCCTCTCCTCCTCCCTCACTTTACTCCAGCCACAGACCTTCTTGCTGTACCTCAACACTGCATGGAAGCTCCTGCCTCAGGGCCTTTGCACACACTGTTCCCTCTGCCTTGAATCTTTCACCCTGCCTCTTCCCAGGGCTGGTTCTTTCAGGTCTCCCCTCCTCAGAAAGGCCCTCTTGGACACCACCCTCTCTGTAATGGCCCTCCCCTCTCTCTACAGTCACATTTAGCACACTCTGAAATTATCTCGATCTTCTATTTGTTTTCTTGTGTATTGTCCACAGTTCAAAGGCTGTCATTACTAACGTTCCAGCAGGTCTTTGATGTATCTCCTGCACCAAGGACAGGGCCTGGCACATAGTAGGTACTTAATGAATTCATGTATGGCCAATTTCAAATGTCCCTCAATACTGCTTTGAACAAAACACAAATTCTTTAAAGGCATTCTGATCTTCCTAGTGACTCTTTTGCCTGATCTATTTTCTCAGTTAATGATTAAAACACTATCTTCATATGTGAAAAGGTGTTGAGGCGTCATTTATACCAGGCAAACAAGGACTTAGAAGGGCCTGGAATAGAGTTAGTGTCTCCTAAGAACTGAAACCATCAGAAGTCACAGTGGGGTCTTCTGGTGAAGAACAGGGGCAATGAGTGGGCCACTGGGGGAGTGGTTCTCTCTCTCTCTCTCTCTCTCTCTCTCTCTCTCTCTCTCTCTCTCTCTCTCTCCCTCTCCCTCTCCAAAGCTTCTGGCTCAAGCTTGGCATTAGGCAGCTGCTCAGAAAGTGGGAGCTGCTATCTGGTTAAGAGGGTGGCCAGGTTAGGGTCCTGGCTCTGCCACCTGTTAGCAGGTGGCCTTGGGCAAGTGACTGCAGCTCTCTGAGCCTCAGTTTCTTCATCTGTAAAATGGAATAATAATAATGCTCATTCTCTTGGGGGTGTCAGGAGGATTGAGACCATGCCCTGTACACACTAAGTGCTCAATAAATGGGAACTTGGAAGTTGAGGATGATGAAGACTCCTGGAAGAAAGTGGGAGCAAAAGAAAGGATGCTTTGCAAGTGCTACCTGGCGTCTCCAGAATGTGTGTCCCTGCATTAATGGGGGACACGCTGGCACAACTGTCCACACCCGAAGGGCAGCTGGCTCAGCCCCTCAGTCCTGAGGGGTCATTTAATAATTAAGCTGGATAAGGGATGATGAGGTTGGAAGGCCCGCAGTGACCAGGACCTGGCCTTGTTTGGCTTTGGTGACGCGATGGCCCTGGGATCACGGCCTTCTTAAGCCCATAAACTGGGGGTTGGGCCCTGAGACAGGCAAGGCCAGGCCAAGGTCTGTGCTGGTGACCTCATGCTGAGTCCTGCAGGGGCGGCTGCATGAAAGAGAGTGGAATGAGGGCTGTTTTGCACAGTCACTGCCCACTTGCACCGTTTCTTTCCTTCCCTACCCAACACCCTCTTGTGTTCACTTCCAGTTTACTGAGCACTTACTATGTGAAGGCTCTGCGAAAGCTCAGCATATAGATCAACTCCAACCAACCCATTATGAAGGGGGTGCTCTGTCTTCTCCCCACGTGAGTGAGGCTGCCATTGCCCAGGTAAGGAGTCGAAGGACCTGAGCGTGAGTCACCAGACCGTGAGGGCAGAGCCACGTCCCGGCCCAGGCCTGGGGTCTCCCAAGCTTGCACCTAATCCCCTGCCCCACCCATGGTCTTGCCGCCTCTCCCTTTGTTGTTCCTCCTCTCTCTCTCCTCTCTGGCTTTGTCTCTCCTCCTAGTTTTCTCTGAACAACTTTTTATTTGTCTTCTCTATCTCTGTGTCTCTCAATTTCTGCCTCAATTTCTCTTTTTCACTGTTTCATCCCCTCTTCCTAGTTTTCTGTTTCCTTGTCTGTTTCTGTATTTCTCTTTTTTGCCTCTCTCTCTCTCTCTCTCTCTCTCTCTCTCTCTCTCTCTCTCTCTCTCTCTCTGTTTTCCTCTCCTCTCCTCCCCCCTTGCCCGTCTCCCTCTGGCCGCCCCGCCTCGCGGCCCTGTCTCCCTGCAGCCAGCCCTGTCCTGACGCCAGCACATTATGTCCCTGGTCAGACCCTGACGTCAGGCAGGGCCTGGCAGGCGGCCACGGGCAGCTGCCGGGCAGGCGGAGGGAGGGCACGCCTTCCCGGTCCCCATTGTGGTGGCCGCCTGCCCAGCCTCGCAGCTCACAGCTCAGGCTTCAATCCCCCAGGCCTGGCCTCAGCTGGCTGGAGCGTGGTGGTGACTTGGTGGCTGCCTGGCCTGTGAGCCTAGGGCTGCAGGTCACTCACCTCTCCCTCCCACCATCCTGATCCCACAAGAGAGCTCCTAGTTGGTCCCAGAGCGGGAACAGTACAGAGAGGGGACAAGGCCTGGAGCCAAGTTCTGGCTGTGTGACCGTGGGCAAGTCATCCAGCCTCTCTGAGCCTCATCTCTCCATAAAACGAGGCCATCGAGGCACCTGCCTCTCAGGTCCACAGGGAGGGACCCTAGCAGGGGTGGCCAGCCCACAGCGGAGCTCAGTGTCCTCGCAGGGGCCCATGCAGCAGCCCGCATGGGGAAGGCTCAGAGAGGTGCGCGAGTCCGGGTGACGCACGACTGGGGGCCACAGCTGGTGTGGAGAGGGCAAGAACGTGCCATGCGGAGGGGCAAGAACAATAAAAGAGCGCCTCACCCAAAATGCAAACAGCGTCCCCGCCAGGAAACCCTCCCCAAGCCCAGTTGGTCTCAGGCCCCATGAGGGCTTGAAGAAGTGGTTAAAAAAATGTAATATTTCTTGTTTGGTCTGTTTGCTTTTCTCCCCCCCACCCCACCCCCCACCATTTTCAAAGCAATGCAATTTTCTTGAAAGCCATTTTGAAGGGCACCTGAGCATCCTGGTTTAAAGACAGGCTGTGGGGCTACAAACCTGGGTCAAATGCAGCTGTGTGACCTCGGGCCAGTGGCTTCACCTGCTGAGCCTCGGTTTCCTCATCTGTCAAAGGGGATAATGAACATATCTGTCATCTGTCTTAGAGGATTAAGCAAAACAATGTCTGTAAAGCACAGTAGCCTTTTTCTCATATTTTTTATTCTTCTAATTTATGTATGTATGTATGTATGTATGTTGTTAGTTCTCACTCGAGGATATTTTTCCATTGATTTTTAGAGAGAGGGAAAGACAGAGAAAAACATCGATGTGAGAGAAACACATCGATTGGTTGCCTCCTGCATGAACCCTGACCAGGGCCCCCAGCCGGGGAGGAGCCTGCATCCAAGTTGCGTGCCCTTGACCGGAATTGAACCCAGGACCCTTTGGTTTGCAGGCCGACACTCTATCCACTGAGCCAAACCAGCTAGGGCTGTTCTTCTAACTTTAAATACAGGAGATACAGAAAAATACAAAGAAGAAAACAAGGTCACCCAGAGAGAAGCATCCTAACATTTTCGTGGAAATTCGGCTCAGTTAATGTATTTAGATTGCGATCCTCCCATTGCCTGCTTTTTCATTTTTCATAGAAATAAAACCCAACTTGAAGTTTCATTAAAAAAATACCTTTGCTAATTTTATTTTTATTGTTTTTTGAATGCACACACGTCGGAAAGGTTCGAAGGGTGTCCAGTGAGAAGAGAAGCTCTTTCCCTCCCCAGCCTCTGGCTCCTCTGCCCGGAAGCCAACACAGTGAGCAGTTTCTTGCGTGTCTTTCCTTTCTTTCCTGGCGTTAAATCATCTTTGGACACATGATTTCCAACCCCTCTATTCATTGTGGGTTTGTTTGTGTTTTTAATTCACTCAATTATGAAGCATGACATTCAAAAAAAAAAAAAAGAAAAGAAAAGAGAAATTAGAACGGACAGACAAGCAAAAGAAAAGGAAACAGGCAGAATCACCTGCAATGCTACTACCCCTTTAACATTGTGGAGTAAATCCTCGCGGCCTATTTCCATAGCTTCGTGTAGGTGCGCATTCTTGAAGCACAAGTATCTTTTCTTCTCAGTGTTGATCAAAGTCTGTGATGATGTTTGTGCACTGATCTCTGATCATTATCTGTCTTCCCCGTTGTGCTCGGAGTTCCAGGAGGCTGGGGCGGTCCTGCGAGCGTCCCTACCCCCAGCAGTGTCAGCACACAGTAGGCCTGTAAGGAATGAATGAATGAGTGAATTGCCAAAAGGGATCGCACAATATGTCACACTGTCCCGTGACCTATTTTTTTTCAGTCAACGTATCGGCAACACCCCTCCACACTTCTAGCTCGACAGCCAATCCTCATTTTCCATGTCTGCACGGAGGCACCACAATAAACGTCTTTTTGATGCTGGCCAGAAGCTTCTGCCCCTAACTGGGAAATTCGTTTTCAAACCAGATCTGTTAACAAATTCCACATGATCTGCCCGTGCCCCAGCCCTTTGGCCATTTGCTTTCAGCCCGACACTTCACTGGTTTCGTGGGCCCATTGTTTTCTGGGACAAGTCAAGATTTACTGCCCGTCCCTGACATCATGTTTTTCCAGAGAAGCTTGAGAGTGAAGAACTCATCCCACCCCCACCCCCACCCCCGTTTCCGCCTGTTAAGGGTTCTGTATATTTGCTGAAGTTGGGAAACTTGGTGTAACCCTTGCCTCCCTGGCTGCCTTGTCACAAATAGCTCACACCAAGCTCATTCCTACCTCAGGGCCTTTGCACTGGTTGCCTCCTGTGCCTGGAATATACTTCTCTCGTGCATTCTTCAGGCCTCTGCTCAAATGTCACCCCCTCAGAGAGGACTTGGTCAACCATTTTTCTGCATTAGCATCTCGAAGTCACTTATCCAGTTTTACATTTCTTCATAAAACATTTCTCAGCACCTGGTTTCGTATCCTATTACCTTGTGTTATGTTAGTATATTGGGGTTTTCTTATTTATTGTCCATCTCGCCCACTATGAGGGCATGAACTTGGTTTGTTTTCTCCCCACAGTATCCTCAGCACCTAACCCAGGGCCTGGGGTATTGCAGCTGCTCAGAAACTCTTGGTTGAATCCATCCATGTTAGTTCCAGGGCTCTAAGGTTCCTCCTTCATTTGTCTATTGGCCCGGCCAGCACATTGAGCACCTACTGTGTGCCAGGGCCCATCTGAAGGATGTGGTCAGTGGTCCAGGAAACACATCTACACCAGATAACGGCATCCGATGACTTGCTGGCTGCAGGCGGCCCGGAGAGAACAGGGCTTAGGGCCTGAGGGACATGGGTTCCCAGCTCTAACTCAGCATTTGCCTAGCTGGGTAACTGCAAGGGAGACACACATGCAGATGATTGCCTTGCCGTCTGTACTTCTCCCTGCTATTCTTTCACCATAAGTGGAAGAGAAATAAAAAAGTGAGGCCAGAAACCTTTTTGGATTTCTCCCACAAGCCCAGCGTCTTTACTTGGGCACTAAGCTTTGCCCTACTTTCTGGCTGCTCCATACCTTGCATACCTCCTTCAGGGAAGCTCCTACCTTAGTAGCTATACCTTCCAAGGAAGATGCCAGAAAACTCGCTTTCCCAGCCTCCCTTGCAGGTTGGTGCAAGCGTGGGATTTGGGCTTCATCGACTAGACATGCTGCCAGAGATGTGCAATCAGACAAGAAGCACAGGACAAGAGCTGGGGAAGAGCGTGGGCCCGGCCCTGGACGGTGCAGTGGGGGGGGGCCCTCTGGGAAATGGCAGGCTCGCGGGGGCCGCTCGCCCATAAATCCTGGGTCTCATGCTAAGAACCACCCCATAACCTTGGAAACTAGCCAAGTGGTGGCTTCTACTGCTTGCAACTCAGACCCCCCTGACTGACAGTAGATCATTCTAGGTTCTTCAGCTTCATGGCCAATTATTTCTTATCATTCTCTTTTATTCAAGAACTATTAGAAAATGACTATCCATGATTCCACCTTGGTGACTGGAGGCAAAGGTTTTGAATGTTAGAATTGTTACCCTGGCTCCACCATGGAGCCCCACTTCCCCTGCTTTGGGGAAGGGGGGCATGCATGTCACTTTGGAAAGCAGTTAGGTCACAAGCATGAACGGGTATTAGGGATGCTCATGTTCTTTGACCTCCAAATCCCTTTTCTGGAATTCTGTAGTGAGGAAATAATCAGAAATAATGAAAATGCACAAAGATGTTCACAACAGAGTTATTTATAGTGAGGAGTCAGAAGCGACCTAAATGCCCACTGACCAAGGAATGGTTTCGTTAATTAAGTGATAATCCCCAAAGAATGTGTGTGACGATTCCCCTGGCAAAGTATCAGTGCAATGCTCAGGATTAGGGTCATCTTGGAGTGACTGTGAAATCAAAGTAACAGGAGCTGAAATAAAATAGAAGTTGGCTTTTCTCTTAGGTAAAGGAAACGTGGAGGCGGCACTCCAGGCTAGTGGATGACTTCGTAAACTACTCAGGGATTCAGGTTCCTTTTCTCTTGTTGCTCCACCATAGCCCAAAATAGCCTCTTAGGTTCTGGCCATTACCTCTGCATTCCAGCCAGCAAGGAGGGTGGGAAGAAGAGCAGGTATCCTCTCCCTGAGGACACTACTTAGAAGTTACTTATATTCCACTGGCCAGAATTTAGTCACATGAACACACCTAACTGCAAGGGAGTGTGGGAAATGTAGTTTTGGGTGTGTTTTTTTTTCAGGGTGAGCACATGCTTAACCAAATGGGCATGGGATTTCTGTTACTAAAGAAGAGGGAAAGATGAGAGAGTTGGGGAGAAGCAGGGGTCTCTACCACAATAGGCAACAATTAAAAATAATGTCGAAGAGGATTTTGTAGTAACATGAAAATATGATCCTGTATAGTTTGGGAAAAGTGGGATTTGAAATTGTATATGAAGTGTAATTGCAACTGTGTAACAAAATTTCAAAGCAGAGAAAGCTACTCAGAGGACAAAACTGCTAGCAAGTTGGCCTTAGTGGGCAGTCCAGTAACAAATTTCATTTTTTTTCTCTTTCTTCTATATTTTCCAAATTGTCGATAGTTGAGCAAACTTAACTCCCCAAAAGAAAGTCTCTGTGCAGATCACAGAATCTACTGGAGCTATAATTTGTGCCATGCAAGTTCTGTCCTCAATTGTGCCAAGGCAGCCAGATGGGGATAGACAAAATGAAATTATCTCTAGTCTCAGGCATGATTGTGAATGAAGTCCAAGGAACCCACAGAAAGCGACTAGAAAAAGAGAGATCTGGGTTATTACAAGTTCGAGTCTCGGCTTTGCTGAAATGCCAGCAACGTGACCTTGGTCAGACCACTAACGTCCCTGTCCCTGCATCTGCAGAGTGGAAGGACGGACAGCATCCATCTCCAGGTGTGAGGAGGCTGGGAGGAGGTGGTGAGGGTAAGACGCGTACACAGATCCAGCGCAAAACCGGAGGTTCTCAGCTGGGAGTGGTTTTGTCCCCCAGGGGACATTTGGCAATGTCTAGAGACATTTTTGGTTGTCAACTAAGGGCGGGGGTTTGGGGGTGCTACTGGCATCTAGTGGATGAGGCCATGGATGCTGCTAAACACTCTACAGTGCAGGCCAGACAACCCCACCTCCCAAACACGCACAAAGCAAAGAATTATCTGGTCTCAAATTTCAATGCGTCTGAGTTGAGAAAACCTGCTCTAAATACACATCGGTTGTTACCACGATCAGGCTTGCTTCCTGGCTTTTGCACAGTAGCGGTCACCTGGCCACACATCTGTGGACACGTGTACTCATGTAAGATGTATTTCCAGAGTCGCATTAGCACCCCTACTCTGCACTCAGATGCTGTGGCTCTTGAATGCCCCCAGAGGTCTTCTCCAGCTTGTCTCAAGTTCTTAACTAGGAGGCTGACATGCTTGTACCCAGGGGAGCTGTGAGAAGGAGCAGGACGGCCATCAGCCCCTAGCCCAGTGGCAATGCTGCTGCTGCCAGCACACTTGCAGGATGGCCCCCAGTGCTTACGGCGCTACAGGCACTCTACTTAGATCACTCCATGCTCTGGAACCCCCCAGGGCAGGCGCTGCCATCACCCCCGTGTCACATGGGGAAACAGGCTGCGAGGCAGTACTGGAGCCTGCACGCCCCAAACCAGACGTTCTCCCCACACCTCACTGCTCTGGTGGAGGCTGCACGTCAGAATCACAGGGGGAGCACCGAAGAAGCCAGAGTCCCAGGTGCTTCACTGGCCCAGTAAGGCAGCCTTGGTTCTGGAATCAAACAGATCTTGGCTTGAATCTTGGCTCCTCCACCTCCTGGCTGTGTGACTTGGGGCCAGTGACGTTATCTCTCTGAGCCTCAGGTTTGTCCTCTGAAAAAAGAGCAGCATTAGTTACTATCTCAGGCGGTGGCCAGGAGGATTTAGTGAATGCCCTGCATTGCAGGCTGAGCATGGGGCCTGGTGTACAGTAAGCACACGTGTGTGTGTGCGCTCTTAAATTGATTCTGATGTGCCCAGCTAGTTGTCCATCCATCCACCCATTCATCCATCCATCCATCCATCCATCCATCCATCCATCCATCTATCCAATCATCCAACCATTCACATTCATCATCAATCCACCTACCCTCTCACCCCTCCACCATTTATTCATCTAACAAACACCTGCCAAGTATTTCCTTTTCGGAAACCCTATGCTGGACTCAGAGGCACTTGAAACAAATAAGACGTGGTCCTTGACACCAGAGAGTTCCCTGAACAGTGGGGGAGGCAAACATGATGGAGGGCAGGGACTCATTCATTCATTTCTTCCGCACATATTCCCTGCTGCCGCCGATGTGTCAAGCTGTGTTAGGCCCCGGGGAGCAAAGATGAAGGCGCAAGGTCCTCGGGCTCCCATTCTAATGAGACAGAAGTAAATACGAACCAGCCAGGAAGTGCGTGTTCCGTCATCATCTCACTCATTCAGCACCTCTGCTGATGCCTCCCACCGCCTGGGCTCTGGGGACCCCGAGATGGAGGGGACTTGGCCTTACCCACCGGGAGCACAGTCCAGTGGAGGAGCAAGCCCCGTGGGGAGTTTCAGCAGGATGTGATATGAGCTGCAATTAGCGAGAGGGCGGGGGTCCATAGAAGCAAGGAAGGTGGCCAAGGGAGCTTTCTGGAGGAGGCGGGGCCTGGTCAGAGCCTGAAGGTGGACCTCACAACTGGTTTGCATCCCTTCCCTTCCCCAAAGTGAAGGTCAGACTCAGGGGCCTCCATGACACTCCCCACCCCCCAGCCAGCCCTTGTGAGGATAGAACTCCAACCCTGTCTCAGGGCAAGGCCCTGGGCAGCCGGCCGGGTGAACCTTGGAGACCATCCCACAGTGACCAAGGTCCACTGGTGACATTGAGGTTGTTTGTACAAATGTGCTCCGCTGTTCCAGGCAGTCTTGTTCACAGAAAACAACAACCCCCTGGCACACTTATGGTGGGGTGCAGAGGGGGGCCGAGAGTGTCTACCGTGCCCAGTACCCCGGGCGTGAGGACACTGGTGCCCATGGGAGGGGATGGAGATAAAGGCAGAGCCTGGCCTGGAGATGGGGGCAGGGCCCCATCAGGTAGGCCCTCCTGGGCTTTGGGAAGAACTAGGGTTTGATTCAAATGGAGAGCATTTGAGTTGGGTTCAAAGGGATTAAAACACAAGATTCCAAACCGCCAGATAGCTTATGCATTCATTCAACCAGTATCTGAGCACCTACTCTGTTCCAGGCACCATTCCAGGCACCTGGGAAGCTGGGGTAAACATAACAGACATAGACTCTTCCTTCCTCTGAGCAGCGGGGACACAGACCCTAAATCAATGACTCACACAAGGAAACAGACAGCTATAAGCACGATCAGGGAAGGTTTCTTTAAGGTGCTATGTAAACAGCTGGTTTAGTATTTCATCCAGCCAGTATTTATTGAGCACCATGTCAGGTACTGTGCTGGGTTCGGGGATGAGCAATACAGACCCCACCCCTGCCCTCAAGGAGCTGGCATTCCAGTGGAGAAGACAAACCTATAAATAATCAGCAACCGCACAGTGGGGTAGGCGGAGGGGCTGTGGAAGCAGGGAAGGCTTCCTGGAGGGAGCGGGCGAGCAGGAGCTAGGTGAGAAATTGTGCAGGTGAGGACAGGTGGGGTATCTCCGCTTGGTTATCTGCTGGGCCGAGGAAGGAGTGGGGGGAGGAGGTGGTGCAGCCGGGAGAGAAGGTCAAGACCCATTGGAAGGAGACCCAGGAGTGGACACTGCCCTCGGAGGAGCCTTGGAGGGCATCTGCAGGGCTCCCGCGGTCTCGCCCTCTCTGCCTGGCTGCTTCCTCTTTCGGTCTCTCCCTGTGTCTTTGTCAGAGTCTGAGTCTCAGAGTCCCTCACTGTCTCTCAGCCTCTCAGTTCCTCTTGGACTCTCTCTCGGCTCCAGTCCTCCTCGCGGGATGCCAGTAAGAGACAAGGATACTAGGAAAAATCCCGGGCGGGTGGGCAGGAAGCGAGGTCAGGGGCACAAGGACAGCTGAGCACAGGGACAGGCGGTGACTAAATGTTCTGTTTTGGAAAGACAGCTCTGGTCAGGGGCGAAGGTGGCTGACCACGAAACCTGATAACCTGGCCAAACTCTGCTCTCGCCAGCCCTCTCGCCAGCAGCCCCATGACCCCTGGATGCTGCACAGAATTTTTCCACAGGGAGGGGGACTGGGGTAAAATGGCCCAGGGATGGCTTCTCCTCTAGCCAACGGGCCCAACAGGAAGGGACGGAAATAAAGAACAGTGAATTCTCAAGCGATCCCTCCGTGTGATTTAGAATAGGAAAGCCCTGCTTATCTCTACATGCTTTTCAGAGGTTTAACAATTTATTAAGCACCGTCTGTGAGCCAGGCACTGTGCTGGTACTCACTGCTGAGTCTCTCAAGTAGAGCATTGTGGTTTGAGACCATGGACTCTGGAGCCAGGCAGCCTGAGTCTGAACCCTGGTTTTGTAAACTACTAGCTCTGTGACCCTGTATAACTTACTAAACCGCTTTCTTCATGCATAAATTGGGAAGAAAATAGCGCCTGTCTCATACATTTGAGATCCAGATTAGTGTTAGCTCATACAGGTCAAGTGCCTGGACTGGTGCATGGCACAAAATAAGTACTCAACAAAACTCAAGCTATTATCATGTGAGCCCTGTGATGGAAGAACCAATGCTAAGGAGGCAGAGGAAGCCAGGAAATCCCTGCTTCGTCGCCTCCTAGCTCCGTGGCCTTGATCAAGTCTCACAATCTCTCTGAGCATCAACTTCTTACAGTGAAGATGGTCTTGGTGCTCACCTCACCACGCGGTTGAGAGGTTCTGTGTACATGTCGGTGGAAAGCATTGAGGTCACAGGTGCAGAAAATAAGGCCCAAAGATGGTCCTTAGGTTCATTTCATGTGTCCAGCAGGCTCGGGGTCCCCAGAACACCTATGCTGTGCGGGGTCCTGTGCTCTTTCTGTCCTGAAAGACAGTAGCGAACAGTTGAAGAAGAAGGGAACCCCCTTGGCACCCAGCTTTGGTTATCACAGGCATTATCAACCCATTTCACAGAGGTGGAAACTGAGGTTTGGGGAGGGAAAGAGGCTGATCAAGGTAAAAGGTTCACGAGCACCTTATCCCCTGAGCTGCTCTTGATCTGAACTCTGATGACAACGTCACCACTTCCTCTGCCGTCAGAGGCAACTAGAGGCTCCTTCTCTCTCACACACTCAGCTGCATGCCCCTGCCTCAGTGTCCCCAGCACCAGCCCTGGGGCTGGCCTCAGAAATGTTGGCACTGGACAGAATTCCCAAGCCCAAAGAGCTGTGCTGTTCCTGAATGACCTCTCTCCAGCCTCAGCCTCAGCCTCAGCCTGTTTCCTTATCCTCTGTCAGCCAGTTGGAGAACTCATCTTGGCCCTCAAAGCCCTGAGCACCCCCCTCGCTACTAAGGCAAGAAGCAGGTGACAAGCACAGGCAGCGTGGAGGGAGGGGCAGAATGAGGTCTGGAGCCCCAGAACCCTGGGTCCTCACGCGTGGCTGTGTGACTTTGGGCGTGGGCACGTCTCTCTGAGCCTCAGTTTCCTCATGTGTAGAATGGGTGCAGTCATCATAACACCCACCCCTTCAGTTGGTGTGCAGAGTGGAAAGAGCAGGGTGCAGCCCTAGCCATGGGCGGATGCTCAGAAAGTGACAACTGCCTCTACTATGCGAGCCCTCTCCCTCTTCCCCAATCCCTTAAGGCCAGTTTGGCTCCTCACGGTCAATGGCGAGCTTCTCAGGAGACAGTAGAGTGGTTAAGAGCATGACTGTCTGAGGTCAAATCCTGTCTTTGCCACGTATGATCCAGACAAGTGACTTAACCTCTCTGGGCCTTAGTTTTTCCATTCATGAGACAGATGTAATAATAGTTCCCATATTTCAAATTGTTGTGATGACCAAATGAGTGCACAAATGCAAAGGCTAGAATCTTGCCAGGCACATGGTGAGGGCTACAGAATGTCTGCTGCTCTTCAGGGATTGGGGAGAGAAGACCTGGTGGCTTCTTACAATTTACAAGGGACTCGGGGCCAAGGATGAAACGGGAGACCTGCGGAAAAACCCCGATCTGAACCAGGAGGGATTTCAGAAAGCAAGGTCCGTCTTATTGGGGAAGGTCTTTGCGCAGGTCCCACGTGGCTCCGGGGCGGGGGGGGGAGGGGGCGCTGCTCTACATCCGTCCTCCGTGGGAGCCGGCATCGTGCCCGGGCATCTCGAGCACGGAGGTGCTCAGCCTGGAACCGGAGTCATCGTGATTTTTTATTTTTATCACACGTGGTCCAGCAGTGTGTCCTGTCAGCTCCACCTCCAAAACACATCCAGAAGGTAGGGTCATAGCCTTCTCCCCACCTTCCCAGCCACCCCTGGGGCCCAGTCACCATCATCCTTTGCCTGGACCATTGCAGTCACCTCATCTCTGGTTGTCCCCTTCCCTCTTTGCCCCTGGCAGCCCATTTCCCCCACAGAGTCGGATGTTCTTTCAGAACCGAGATGACCATGCTCTCCTCCGCTCAGGACCTTCCATGGCTCCCATCTACCCCAGAGAAAAGCCCAGGTCCTTCCAGTGATGCCCAAGATGCTGCACGATCTGCCCCCTGGTCTCTACCCTCACTTCCTCCCAGGTGACCCTCCCTCAGGCTGCCCAGCCATCACACATCATCACACATGCCAGGCAGAATCCAGCCTCGGGGCCTTTGCACTTGCTGTTCCTCTGCCAGGAATGCTCTTCCTCCAATTACCCCCATTGCTCAATCCCTCATGTCTTTCAAGTCTGTCCTCAAATATTTGCTTGACAAGGTCTCCCCTGGCTCCCGCGTTTAGATCTGTTCCTCTCCAACTCTCTCCTGGTTTATTCGTTTATTTTTTAAAAATATGTTTTTATTGATTTCTAGAGCGAGAGGAAGGGAGAGGGACAGAGAGAGAGAAACATCAATAGAGAAACATTATCAATTAGCTGCCTCTTGCATGCCCCGATCGAGCCCACAACCTGAGCATGTGCCCTGACCAGGAATTGAACCAGTGACCTTTGGGTCAACATGTGCCCTGACTGGGAATCGAACCAGTGACCTCTGGGTCAACATGTGCCTTGACCGGGAATCTAACCTGGGTCGATGCTCAACCACTGAGCCCCAGCAGCTGGGCCTGGTTTATTTTTCTCCTTAGTACTTAACTGCCATCTGAAATACAATATATTTAATTTACCTATTAATGTTTACCTACCTCTCCGCCCCCAACTCCAAACATGTCAGCTTCATGAGGACTTCCGTTGGGAAGCCAGAGCGAGGAGCAGGTTTTGGATGCGTCCAGTGGGAGTTGCTCTGAGAGCTGGCTACGGCTGGCACAATTCCAGGGACTCGGGGCCCAGCAGAGTGACACACGGAGCTCCGACTTCTTAACATTCTTAATTCAAATGCCAGGACTGCCACGAATTCACCAGGGAACTTTATACTTGTGAGTGGCAGCACTCCCCAGCCTCAGTTTCCCCACATGTAAATGGAATGATGATCCCTCCCTCCCAAGGCTCAGTGAGCTAATGCCTCTGAAGCGCCTGGCACCCAGTAGGCACTCAATCAGAGCCTGTTCCTCCCGTGGCCAACCCCTCCTCCCGCCATGCTAGCTGTCCCCCAGGGGACGGTGCTGCGAGCCTTATTTTTAACTGTGGCTCCAGCGGGCTGGACAGCGGCTCTGAAGGCCGTAGGAAGACCACCAGGTGAGCAACACCCCCCAGTCAAAACCCCATCTGACCACGGCGTGAAAACACCAGGGGAGGCCGCCCCGCATCCATGCTCTGCCCGGTAACCCTCTGTGCCCAATCGTGTCATGTCACCCGACGCTGTTTATAAACTTAGCGCTGACCTTTCCCGAGCAGGCCAGTGGGGGTGGGGCTCAGCCCAGTCTCCTCAGCCCCACCAGGAACTGTTGGTGGCCCACATTCACACAAAGTCGGGGGTCTGGCCTCTAGCCAGACTTTGCCCACTCGTTTCAACACCTCCGAGTGCTTGCAGCTGACCAGCCCTGGGGTATTTTTAAACCCTGGCCTTGGCCAACCTCTTTGTTACATTCCGGTCGGTCAGGGATTGGATTGAGTGCACGCGGCAGTTAGGGTAGCCGGGCAGTTCCACAACAACCATTTAAGCCAATTCCAGAGCCTGTGGGCCTACTGTGTGCCCGACCCTATAGAAAGCACGGAGCCCCAGGGGGCTTAATTCACAGAGCCTGTCCTCAAGATGGCCTCAATCTGGTGGGGACACCATGGCAAGAGTTAGAATGGAGGCTAAGATGGCAATGACAACTCAAATCTCTGCAGGGCCCAGCGGTAAATGAATGAAGAGAGTCTGGTGTGAGGCAGCAGGGAGGGGTGGGGACTGTGGTGAACTGGGCCAGCTCACGCCCTGCCTGAAGGGGGTGACTGCCGCTCAGCCTGACCTCTGTCATTTGAGAGAATCGGGCCCAGTGTGCCCAGAGCTTCTGACTGTTCAAGAGAGGCTGCAAATCTAGGTTTATGTGGGATTTCATGCAAAAATCCCTTGACTTTTAAATTTTGGCAACACATTTTTTTTTTAAATGTTAAAAACATTCCGAGAGCCAAATGAAACCCATTTGTGGGCTGGACTCAGCCCACAGAGCCAAGGTGATGGAGGCGAACAGTTTGTGCTTTCTGAGGCAAACAGATGCATTACAACATGTTCAACAAATACCGGCTGAGCACCTACTGTGGGCTCCTCCTCCTAGTCTAGGGGAACAGCAGGGAACGAGATGGACAATCCTTCTGTCTCCGTGTTGCCTACATCCAGTGGTGTGCTGGAGCTGGCTCACACTGGCTCACGGATTCTGCAAACTGCCTGTTTTACACGGCCATCATTTAGAAATTAAATTGTACAAACTTACAAGTGAATAATTATAATAAAAATGAAGGTGACAACTACTCAAAACTCATCACTTTCTATTTTACTATTGTCTATATTCTAGAGGTTATTGACATCCACTATATCATATTGTATCACAGGCCACATTACAAGGTGAAAATAGTACAGAACTGTGTGCCGCTGCCCATCTCTTCCCAATCTCACGTTCAGTGAGTCATGTTGGCGGCTTGAAATCGGCCTTGGTGGGAGTGTTTACACCACGAAATTGGCAAATGTAAACATCAGAACTCCCCCTTGCCGAGAGCCAGTGGTTAAACATTTAGCAGCAAATTTTAGCATAAAACAAATGTACTGATAAGATGTAATAGTCAGATAGAAATGATTGCAATGAAGGAAAATAAAGTCAGTCGAGGGTAGGGTGATGGAGGGAAGCATTTTAGATGGGCAGGTCATGGATATCTTCTCTGAGCAGATGATAGTTGAGCAGAGACCTGAATGAAGTGAGAGAGTGAGCCAGAAAGATATCCGACAGAAGGAGGTTCGGGCGAAGGGAACAGCAAGTTTCTGCCTAGGGACAGGAGCAAGCTTGCTGATTCAGGAACAGGGAGGAGGCAAGTGTGACAAGAGCAGAGTGGGTGAGGGCAGGAGGTGGTCAAAGGTCAGATCATACAAGGTCTTATAGGCCACATTTGAGGAGGAGGGATTTTATTCTACTATGAATGGGGAGTCCTAGAGGGTTTTGAGCAGGAGTATGATATGGCTTTCTAACTTTTAAATTTTTTTTCTCTGACCATGATGAGTGGAGTGGAGCAAAGCCAGAAGCCAAGAGACTAGGGCACAGTCCAGGCAGATGAAGATGGTGGCCACCTGCACTGAAATGGTAGTTGGAAGGGAGGATGGTCAAGGGAATATTCTGGAACCTTTGGTTTCTGGGTATCCATCACATGGAAGGGCCAGGAGGTCACTTCCCAGGACTAAGGGATGAGCACGTTGAACACGCATGGTGGGGATTTGGGTGTGTGTGGTGAATGAGTAACCATCCTCTAGGGAGAGGCTTGGAGGACATGGGGTCTGGCCC